CCCCAAAACCCCAAAACCCCAAAACCCCGTCTGGCTTATTTTGAATAAGGCTTGAAAATTTGAAAAATTAAATTTTATTTCCAAAATTAAACCTTATATTTTATCATTTAATAACCATTTTTATTGTAATTCTACAGCTTAGTTTAAGAATTAATTTACTAACTCTTTGAATCTAATAACATTAACTTTAATTTCAAAGAGCTGATTGAAATATCTTAGTGTTTTTTCCAGCAATCCTCTTTTTTTTGTTCATAACTTTTTTATTTTTTAAAACTGACTTCTTACGAGGTGATCTGAATTCTTCTGGAATATTATTTATACTGTAATCATTAATTTCACCAATTTAACTTTAGTTTAGTGAAGGTACTTTCTTAGTTTATTTGAAAATTATCCTGAATGTAGATTGCTGATTAAATTTAGTGTTATCCAATGTAATATCACTAGCTTGCTTTTTAGGAATTAATTTTCTTTAAGACATAATATTGCTTTACTTGCTAGTATATCTAAAAGAACTGCTGCTTTCAAAGTCTTCGATAGTTTTAAGATTCTTAAATATCTTTACATTCAATTTTTTCAGATACTTTCCATAGATTCTTAGTAAATTTTATAGAAATAACAAGATCCAGAAGCAAAAGAAGTAAATGTTATAGAGAAGTATAACTATAAATAAGACTGTAAGGAAGTGAGCATTCTTTTGAACATCTGAGTTTATGAAAAATAAGCCTCCATATAGAGTCAAGGCAGAAGCATATGTCGCATGAAAATCTAATCTGTTAAATCTTGGATCAATATAAGGTTTTAATTTCTTAGTCAGTTAAGCCTAAAATATCAAGGGTATTATACCTATCAAAGCTTTAAAAATCTATGAGCTCTAAGGAACAAATGTCGAGACTAGGATGAACAAAAGCTTTTTAAAGTTAACAACTATTATCTCCCAATAATATGCATTATCATTTAGACCTACATAAAATATTCCATAGAGTTAGAGGTTTTCAGGACTATTTAAATTATCACTAATTCCTTTAAGCTTATACAAAATAATCCCTGGGAATATTAATGCCCATAAAGCTAAAAATGGAAGACCGATCAATAGCGAAATTTATTTATGTTACATTCCCCAGCATTATAGATTCATATAGCTCTAGACATATGAGTTTCCATCTTCATATTAATAACATTGGAAAATCTAAAAACATACTGAAATCACTGTAGGGTATAAAAGCAAAATAATAGCAAAACTTGTCAATTATATTTTAGGAATAATTTTTACATCCTTAAAGCATTTATTACATATAAGTTTGAGAGTTGTCCATAAAAATGCAGAAAAAATACTCAAAATAACAGGTAATAAACCAAACAAGAGCAATTTAGATTTAAAAATATCATCTCCTAAGTAGCCCGATTCGGTTAATGCACAATCTATAGAGAATAAGTTCTTTTATGATGAGGAGAAAATTGAAAAATAGCTAAGCATTAATTCAACATTATCGGGCCATTACATTTCAAAGTCTTTACAAATCATAATGACCTAAAAGTATCCTACTAAGATTCTGAGTAATACTGTCTATGGCTTATTTCTTCTTGGATCTTTTAAAACAGAACTATAATATATTAGAAATCTTTAATATATTACTAAAGGATATAGGCTATATATAGAAAAATAGCAAAAAGTAATGCAATCACAAAGAGTAATTAAATTGTGAGAGACTAACATTCATTGCAACTATATCCACTTGACCTTGCATATCGCTTTCCATTTTCATCTAACTTGCATATTGAGCAAAGCTTACCGTAATATCCCTCAGCGCATTCTGAATTTATTCCTCCTCTAAAAATAAAATATTGATTATATGCTAGAAAAATACAAACAAGATTTAGAGTGCAAGCATTTGTAAATCTATTCACTTTAATTTGAAGATCTCCAATATTATTCATCTATTACAACCTAATTTCCACCAAGGCATTAAGAATTTTCTAAGCATTTTCCGCAAATCTTTTTACTGATATCAAAACTAAATGTCCCTTAAGGACATTTAATACATTTTTAGTTTTAATTTACTTCACCTATATTGCACTTTCTGAAATTTATGCTTTCCTTCAACTTTTAATTCTCAATTAAATCAATCTTTTAAAGCTTTTGTTTATCTATAGCGTCGCTCTCAATATAAATTTAAGATTCATAGCTTGGCATAGCTATAATTGTAATTCCACTAAAGCTACAAGAGCCCTCGAATGCTTGCACCTTTTATCTCCCTTAAATTGACACTAGGATATCATAAGACCCAATGTTACAATAGCTATTTCCATCAAGTATATATTACTAATCATCTTAATCATAGAGATTATAAATCATAAGATTTTCTATTTCTATTCCACTTGCAAATTAGAAAGCTTCATCCTATCTCTCATTTTGATTTTAAAGTTTGACAGGGAAGGATGCTATATTAGGACCATAAATTGCCATATTTTACTAGAATAAATTTGATTTAATCATTTTAGGTCTATATAAATCGTAGTATATTGCTCCTCCTGAAGTTCCGACACTATTGCCAACAAAACTATTATTTATGAGTTGAGATTCACATCCTAAAATTTTAGTCAAACTTCTAATAAATTACCTTGTTCGTTTAAAATTGAGCAAGCAGTAAATATTGCACCACCACTTATAATTGCAGAATTTTATTTAAAATAGCTCAATGAAATATCAATATCAGCATTTGAAGTGAATATTACACCACCGTTTAATTTTGCACTACAATAATTGAAACTGCTGTTTTGTATTTCTATCATTGATCTTTTCAATGAATTAATTGGATCAATTGAATATATTGCTCCTCCTAGGTTAGATGATAAATCAATAATGGATGAATTTGTGATTTTAAGAAATGAATCAGCTATTGAGAATGCCAATCCATTTTGCTATAGGTTTATCCCTCTAGAAATTGAAGAGTTTACTATCTCTAAAGTGCTAGATTATGATACTATAAAATTCGTATCAAATATTCCTATCCTCATATTTTCAAAAGTGCTTGCTGAATCTTAAAGGTTTATTATAGGATATCCTAACATTGAAGAGTGGTTAAATATCTCAAAGTTGGTGAATTTTATTGAGCTCTGATGAACTTGGTAAAAAGGAGTTTCTAGATTATTAAGAGTGTCTTAAATTAAAATGTTGCTGGCTTCTAATATAGTTTGAAATGCTTTTATAAATGAGCCAGTAGTTTACTTAAGACAAAGTCGATCAATGGTTATATTTGATCCTGATTATGCACTTATTAAAGGACTCTTTTATGTTGTATTTGTCACGTTTAAGTTTGAAAAATTTAGTCTACTTTATGCACTTTATATAAAAGTACTTTCAATCTCAGTGTCAAATATTAGAACATCATTAAGCTCAATTATGGATAGTGATTAAGAGTCTAGTAAAGAGTCCTGATCTTTTATTAAAGTATTTTTATTAATTTTTAATGTACCTTTTACTACATGAATAGCAAAACTTTGATTCTACAAATATGAGTTGATGATAGGCTTTAGCAGATCAAAACTAAAAGTTTAAATATAACTTTAGCTGAATTTACTTGAATTATGAAATAAATTAGCGAAAAATCTTTCTTCATCTTTTGATTCTTATTTCAATTAATTTCTAGATATAAGACAGTTGCTTAATACAAAATA